TTAAAAAAAAAAAAAAAGAATGACAGTACTAGAATTTGGTAAGCCTATAACTTAAAATATTCATATGATTTATATTGTCTGAAACCATAAACCTCTCAAGGTAGCTTTATCTTCTGATTTGAGAAAAATGGCATTCTCAATAAATTAAACCAAAATTTGGACACAATAATATAAAATAAATTACTTACATTTTGTGAAAATACTAAAAGAATCTAAGGTTTTCCCACCAGATATTTACAAATGTTCAGTATGTAGAGAATATCATCAGTTTCATGTCATAAATCCCATGTCATAAATCGCTCGAAAAAAAGAGTTATAAAAGTTATGGTTTCTTGCCTGAACAGAATCACATGACTCATCATGTTTCCCTTATTGCTGTGGCTTCTGGCAAGCTCTAAAGTGAAGCTCACGTAGAATTGTAGAAGTTTGTTAAGTATAGATGTTCCAATATGACTAAAGCCATCTATGGCTTTATTTTTGCTTATAAATTATATGCTGATTATAAAATGGTGTAGTGTCATTTTTTAAAGTAGTAAGTATATGAAAAAATGAGAGTGGAATGTTTTTGATAAACAAATGTTATCTAAGCCCAAAGACCATGCCCACAGGTGCATCAACAGTACTCAGATCACACACACTGTTAAATTCCTTTAAAGGAAACAGTAATGTTTAATCCTGCATCCTAAGAGACTCAGCTTATAAATGGGAATCTATAGATTGTGCTTATAAATGCAAAAAATGGAAAATAATGTAATGTTAAAATATGCAATGATGAATAGCTTCTTAGAAAAGTTTTTTAAAGTAGAGAAGTCTATAAATTCTACATTTTAGAATCAGCAACAGATGTAAATCAACAAAGTAACATTAAGATGATTGACGTACTTATTGTGTAAAAGTTGTTTAATTACATTCAGAATGACTGCCAATTTAAGAAATCATATGCATTCATTTAGATGCCCATGTCATTCAAAATCCATAGTAGACATATAAATAACAAGCTTACTACACCCCTAGATATTGCTAATAACTGTCTCCAAGGATGCTGTATTTGGTTTACATGGTCCAGAGAGTGGCTCACAGTGGCTGGCCAGTTACCCTGACCCCGTGATCTGTCTATAAGCTCAGACCACATAGATGTTCTAAGATGGTGACACCATCTTTGGAGTAGATCATAAAGGTTCTGTGTAACTGTCTATATTCATACATACTTCTCACTTAGGCCATGTACAAAAGCAAGCAATCGCTAAAAAGTTCAGAGTTCTAAATAGACAACTAACAACCATAGGTCAAGGAAACTGACTGTCCTTTTAATTCAACAGGATAAATTCATTGCGCTATAGTACAAAAGCAGAATAAGAATTATACATAGTACTGCCACACTAATCAAAGCTTTGTATGATGATATTTGTAAACTCTCTTTATATTAAAATGTGATTGGATCAATTAAACTTTCCCCAATTTCAATAAAAATGTATTGGTAAATGAAAACTATTTGACAAGCTCATAAATTTCTACATGTGTTGATTTCTACTAACATGGATATTATTTCTAAAACATTATGACCTTAGACAGATCCAAACTACATTTAATGAGGTTGATAAAATCTGAGGTACATTTTAGCAAATATAATTATCACAACATACTATATCTTGCTGTTGAAAATGTATGACAAAATACAATATCTACATAGAATAATTAGCTAACTGCAACTAACAAAATGAAGGAAATAGTTAGATGTCCTTAGATGCATGACTGGTTGCTATCATTATCTTAGAAATTACTAGGGAAATTACTAGGATAAAAGTCTAACTTGTAATAATTATAAAACATATTCACCAAAAGGGAGTTCCTAGCTGCTATGGCTCTCCTTCAGGTAGGTAACTACATATTAATGATTTTCTTGTCAGCATATAATATACTACATATTTGGAAGGAGCTGGAAATAATTTGGTTTAGAGTCATTACCCTTGTTATCAAGATCTGATGGAAGACAGCTGCAAATAAGGCCATAGCATCCAAAACAGGTGCGGCACTAAATGTTCTTCTGGTTAAGTATTTCAAATAGTCCTTTTTACAAAATGGCTTCCAATGCTAAACTGGACGAGCCAAACGTTAACTGAAAATCAAATCTCTCTGGAACAGAAATATTTCACATTCTAATATCAAAGATATATGTGTTTTTTTCTGCATCAAAGTGTTTTTTTAACAAAATTCTTCTATTTTGAAAAACATTTCCCATTTTGTGTTTTTTTTTAATGTGTGAATGGAATTCAGCACTTAAAAGGTATTATACATTACATTACTTAGGCCACAATCATGAAAAGACCTAGCACAAAAATTTAGGACTTACCTGAAGGAAACTGAGCTAATATCCTCAGTGAATATCCAAAGATAGACACAAATTATTAGCATTTTGGTACACATAAGATTTTTTAATGAAAGTTATTGATAAAAGTTCTTTAAAACTGTATTCTCTAAACACAACTAGGTACAACATATGGAATATTATTTTCATTTTGCTTAATAATGAATTTAGTCCAAGTTTCCATTGCTTACTAGCATTCCCATGACAGCAGTTCCAATTAGTAAAACACTTAAAAGACATAAAAATATGACAAATATCCTAAACCAAAGCATCTAACGAGGTCAGAGAACCCTCATAGTCAATATTTTGATGAGAATAAACAGCCATGTTGCACCAGTTCCGTAGCTTAGTTACACATGATAGTTCTAAAATTTCTCTTTTGTTATGAACAGATGAACCACACCCTAGATGGCAGATACGGCATATGCAAAATCACAAAGATTTCCTCTAAATTTGGCCTCTATTTCTGTCAACTTTTGTACCATAGCACCAGGATAATGGAAGTTAAGCAAACTAATAAATTGTATTGTATCCATTATTTGCTTTTACTATGCAAGCAGATCCTACACTGAGTCAGACCTCATGTACCGCATCATGGGTGGACAATGATATGATTAACATCATGTTTGAAGAACGTAAGTTTGGAAATACTCTTAAGAAATCGTATGCCTGAAAATCAAAAGACTAGTATATATTTTCTAGAGGCCTTAATGAGGTTGAGCACAGAAATACAATGAAAGCTGATAGGAGCCACCTGGCTATTCTGGTACCACACATACTGCAATGACCACCTTTCAGTCAGCAGACGACCACAAAACAACCGAAAAATGCTTGTTCTATAAACGTATATTATTGGCAGAAAATCTGTACTAATTATACTCATCTTGCACTGGTTATTTTCTGGAAATAAAAGACAACCCAAGGTCAAATGAAAAATAACCAAGTCGCATTCTGTACTTGCCACCACCGCTCTCCACTCAAACAATTAACATCTTATTTAATTACCACTATTTTGATGCTTAGATAATTATAAAATTGCCTAAGCACATACCATAACAGAAGATTTATTTTGTTGTTTGGAAATATTATTTTTGGAAGAAAGGATAACTAGGGCAAGTAGCTTATCTGTGGTATGGTTAGTATGCCCAGATTTCAACGGTAAAAGAGGTCTCTAGACCTAGTAGATGATATGGTTTTATTAGAAAAGAAAATTTTCTTTTTATTGTTGTCAATTGCTCTTAAATTTTTCTTTAAGAAAATTTCACAGCAATCTCCTCGAGAGGATGCACTAAAGGCCCTTGATTATATATTCCCTATAGGATTTATTGTACCACAAAGATACATACCCAGTAAGATTTTTTTCATCTGAAATTTATAAAGATAATTTTCCATGCTGACAGCGCACATTTCATCCATAAGTTTGAAGAGTCAAATGCTACCACAGCTGGGGGTTATTCTGCCAAATGGCTTCCAACAGGGACTACAGAGATGGAGGCTAGGAGGCATGTGTGTGTGCATGTAAGGAAAAGCAACAGACCTGATGGGAAATAGCCCTTTGCTGGAGTCATTTTTATCAATTACCATCCAAGGGATCTAATCAAACACAGTCTCATAAAAAGCAACAATAGGAAGGAAAAGCAAATATTAAAGCAGCTGCTGGATTGTCTTCAGAGATTAAAACAAAAAGCAAGGAGTGAGGCTAATGTATTTCTGAGGGATTTTCTAAGGCTGAGGGGAGGGGTAAGGGGCAGACACCTTTAAAAAAATCATGAAAGGAACTGAGACAAGATTATAAAAAAAGGGGCCAAGTTATAGCACGCCATGGGATTTTTAATCTGGCTACCTGTGGTTTCTGTAGTTAAAGCCTTATTCATCCCCCAAACCGGGTGCAGTGGGGGAAGTAAACAAAAAAAAAATCTCATTTATGTGTCAGTTTTGCAAATGATCAAACAGCGTGCATCAATAAGAATAATAAGAAAACATTAAGCGCTGATAACTTTTTAAAAATAGATACCCGTTTTATCAAATATTATTGATAATTACCTGTGCATCTCGTTTCTTGAACTCTTGAATTTGATTTTCATGCTCCATATTGGCAGCGCGAAGCTGTCTCTCCAGGTTTTCAATTTCCCGTTCATGGTCTCGGACTAGGCTATCCTTCTCTGCGTTATGCTGCTGTAATAGGTGCGTCTTCTCCTGTTCATGCTCCAGCTTCAGCTCTACTATCTGATTGGACAATGAGGAGGACAGTTCATCAACAGAACATCCTTGTCGTCATGACAACTCATGTACAGCTTAATTTTTCTCCAATTTGACCAAATTGAAAATTTATTTTTGCGTCATTATTGCCTCATCCTTAAAATACCCTCATTTGGTGGGGAGCATTTTATCCCAAACTCCTAATATTCAAGACGGTAGGGCATTTTCAGGAAATCTTTTTGCAATCTGTTGGCACTAATTCTGAACATTGAAAAAATTTATGTTGAATGCTAGGTATTTCCTCCCCAAGTATTCGAGTATTGCTGATCAGCAATGGTTGTAAATGGTTAATAGTCAGTACGCTTAGCTCTTTGCTTAAATATACACATGTAAAAAGCAGAAATTAAATCAGTTTCCTTTATGATTTTCAAATAAAAGATCTGGTCTAAAAACGCATCTGGATTATTGTATATACAGTTGTCTTTTTAAAGATAAAATGATAAATTTCAAAGCTCTATTATGTCCTTGTCAGCTACGGTGTACCAACATAAACAGATGTTGTGTCCTCCAGAAGGGCACCTGCTGTGCCGCAAGCCTGCGCCATGATTTCATAAAAAGCATTCTATTCTCAAGATCCTTTCCCAGTCCACTCCACACTGGAGACTGTGACCTTGGCCAGTCTTAGCTTCTCCCTGCTAGACTGAATGGCAGCCGGAGACCAAGGGCCTGGTTGCCGCAGCTTTGATACTAATCCTCCCAGACTGTGCACAATGGCACCCTACCTGGCCTGCAAACTATAGCCAGCCAGGCTGTCTTTGAAGCAGGTGATGAATAGGGGACTGCAGGAAGCCAGCTTCCCCAGTGAACTCCAGGCCACACAGCTGCTAAGAACAGTCACTTGGATTTTTCTTCAGTTTTGGTGGATTTCAGGGGGGAAAAACTGCTGTTATTTAGAGTATGTTGTGTTATTTTCAGCGTGAGAATCCATCTTCAAAAAAGCTAACAGTAGGAGCCTGCTCCAAATCGATCTTGTTTTGTGCAATGACTCACCAGACTACCTTATCTTAAAGCTATAGCAGTCATTTCTCCAGGAATGCACACAGCACTAAATCTCAGAAGTTACTTTCTTTTGAAATTTGAGGTTCTCATTCATAATTACAAATTATAAATAAAAACATAAATTTCTTTTATATTAGACTATATATTTAAAATATTTTCTTAACATGACTTGTTTTTTAGGTGGAAAATCAACAAATTTCTAGCCATTCATAAATGTGCTATGTTATTCAGAAGAAAATATGCCAATGCTTGAACATACCCACTTCTCAGAGTCCAACAACCTATAAATAATACAGAAAGAAGTATTTTTGCATCTGAGGCCAAAGATGAATTCTAGTAAATTCGGTTAAAATTTAGTTGTTTTCCCCATATTATTCTACTATTAGCAATAGTATATTTTTTCTCCTAATATATACTAAATACACCAAGTAGTAAAGAAAATGTCTTCTGACTCAAACAAATACATGTATTTTATTCTGTGATTCATGCACTGCAATCTTAATCCCAACAGAAGACAGAAATTAAAAGTTTACCATTATCAGAATACTTTTGAGTCAGCTGAGTGTGCGAATACTGAGTTGGAGTGTCATCAGTTCTCAGTCACTATCATTTCTACTGTCTTAAATTATCAAATACCATAAAACTTTAGTCAAATTACTTAAGCATACAATGTACTGAAGGAAAGTAGGAATCACAGAATGTTCTACTGATATTTTTGAAAGCCTCAAAAAATTTTGGGAGCATAGACATTCCTTAAAAATTGATAGAAAACAAAATATTTGTAAGAAATCGAATGACCTTGTTTTAGAACATAAGAATTACAGATATTTCCCTCCAAAAGTCATAAGAACGAGGTATGTGATCACTAGTAATGATGTCAATTATTTTTTTCCTCTATTTTTTGGGGGGGTCAAACCATTTTAATAAAGGCTTGGGGGTAGGGTGGGGAGGGGTGGGCGATGTCCACGCTATTTGAAGTCCTCGGCAGGGTAGATCTCCCGAACACCTCATAGCTAAAAGCTTTTTTCCTCTATTTTATGACAGTTTCATACATATACAATGTATTGTGATTCTATTCACCCCAATTACCCTCTGGTAACCCCTTTCCTTTCCCTCTAAACCCTGTCTTCTTAGTTCCCCAGTGGTTATACCACTAGCAAAAATGACACCCCCTCCTCTAGCAACTATTTAGAGTCATTAGCTGCTCAGGAAGGGATGGGGCTCATGGCACCTCCTCGAGCCATAACAGAAAGTCTAAGGGCCTGATCTTGTGCAGGTTGCTGTGTGTTCATGGCTGTGTACTAATTCCTCCACAGGCAGGAATATATCCCCGATACTATAAAGCTGGCCAAACCCTATGGCTGGTGAGGGCATGGGCCCCAGGGAGAAACATACTACCGTTCTTTCCCTAAGTGGGCATGCTATCAAACGGTCTTCTAAATGTTTACACCCACAGAGTAGTGTAGCTCTCAGCCTGGGGAAGAGAAAAACCTTTTTTCAGAGGGTAGTGCTTAAAGCAGAGACTTCTATCTGGTCAAAGTGCTTAGGACAAATGACTGAAATACATACAGCCTGAACCCAGACATCTGTATCAACCACACCACACAAAGGCCCAATGGAACACCACAGGCAAGAGGGGAGAAAGAATTTAAGAGCCAGAACATGGGGAAGAATGTCATAAAATGCTGCCATCCAGATATGATATGCTAAATTGCTTAATGATCTAGTAATAATAGGCTTCCATGGTACATTCTAACCTGAGTGAACTGAAGTGCTCTTACAACCTGACCAATGATCCCAAACTTGTTCAAATATGTTTATTCACTGTGAAAAAAGAAAAACAGTAAAAAATGAAATAGTTGATGGATCAACTCTAAAAATAGATATTCATAAGTTATTAGTTCAATATTTTTCCAGGGCCCTCCCAGTGGTTCTTTTTAATGAATAAATCTCAAGGTTACTGAATCCTTATAAAGTGAAAGATCTGAGTTTGTCTGCCCACTCCCACAATGGATGGCTCACTTCTAAGTTACAAGCTTCTTCTGCCCTCAGCCTCGCTTTCCTCCCTGTAAACATCCTCTGGCACGTGTGTGTCTTCCCTAGATAAATGGTAGAGTCCATTGGAAAAGCCCAAATGTTCTGGGGATATCTTGATAATTGTATCTGTAACTACAAAGGCCATCACTGGGGTGGAGCTGTGTTAAAAATCAAAGCTTCACTGGTTCCTGGCCCCTTGCACAAAAGTGAATGTTGAGAGAGTGATCCTTCAGACTTTCTACATGTTCCTTCACTTGTTATTACAGCTCACAGGTAACTATAAAGTAGTGTACCTTTCTTACCTTGGACTCCTAGAAGTTTTAGGTTGAGCAACAATAATATCTAATAGAGTTAATTAAGACTGGGGTATTATATTATTGAAAATGCAGAATATGTAAAGTCAGACAACATCCACACAGTTGAATACGGAGTGATCAGTGAGCTTTTAAGTCAAGAAAGGTAGGAGCTTTCAGGCCCTCACATATGCTAAAGGGGAGTAGGATGTGCCATTACAAAGACTGGCTAAAGAAGTACCCATGAGACAGCCTGGAGGATTTAAAGATCCCTAATCCAAAAGCATTGCATTGTGAGCCAGGTAATGACATCTGGTGTGTGCTTACTCTATACATCATATTAAAGCAAATTTGTGTAACTTTCACAGTCAGTGAAAATGATTAGCCTTCATGTGCACACCTTTGGTAGTATCTGATAATCTTGTGAGATGCTGAACTTGATGGCTTGGTAACTGGTGTTGAGGAGAAGAAATAGCCTTATTACTTATAAACTGCAAGATCTATACATATGGAATTGCCATTTTTTGAAGCTACACAGGACAGCAGTATTCCACTCACTCTTCTAGTCCCTAACACATTTTCAACTTTAAGTGCAAGACTGAAGCTTCAAGTTCTGGTGTTCCTGAAAGCATAGCCCTCCATCACATTTGCAGTTATGATAATGTCCTCATTGCAACTGTTCCCATGTTAGAATGTTTTCATGTTAGGAGTTTTCTCCAGAAAACTGGATCCTTTCTCCACACCCAGAATTTGTGGAACCAGTAATAGTGCAAAGCACTAATTTAGTAGTAAAAACGACTCTTATTCTTGACTAAGAATAGGAAGAATGAGAGATAAAATTGCAGATCAACTTCTTAACCCTGGGAGGTCAGGAGGTTACAACTATAAAGTAAAAGAAGTGATGGGGACAGATAAGCTAATAAAGGAGAGGAATATTCATGTCTTTCTGGAAATGGGCAGAGATCTTCTAGGCCTTTGACAGTCTCCAACATTATCAATCATATTGGCTCTTTTTGTCTCTTTTGGGTTTATTCCAGGTGTAGCTATGGCAACTGTCAACTCATTTAGCATGCAGATAGAATTGTAATGAAATTAGATATTGCCTGGCAGTCACTCTGACAGCCATCTTGGATCTAACCAGTTTCCCAGTCCACCTGAAAAGGAACTTCTGGCCTATAGACAGCTATTCTCAAAGATGAACAAGATTAGATCGGTGTTACCTACACACTGCCCAGAGTAACAGAAATGCTCAAGGGCAGGAACATATGCCAGGCCTCAAGAAGAACCCAAAAGAAAATGATAGGTTTCCAATTCTCTGGGAATCTTGGAACCTAAACTTTAAATTCATGTGACTGTCTTACAGTGAAAATATGGTCTGAACAAATTTTAATAATCATATGAACAAACAGACAAACAGGATAGAAAAAAGTCATTCCTCCTCAAAACACACAAAACATGGAAAATTCTTTCAGTACACTTCAATGTCAAGAACTCCAAAATCAGAAACACAAATGGTGGATGTAATAGAATGAAACATAATCCACTGAAAAGGAGACATTATGGCACAAAAATCTAAATAAAATAACCTCAACAGTCACCAAATTATATAACCTATGTCCTACAAGCATTGCTGTAAAA